CACGTGCTCGCAACCTAATATCTCGTAGAGAGTCGGTGAAGAAACGGTTCCATCGTGTGTGGAAAATCAACACCGCCCATACAAAATATTCGATTGACTTCGAAATCATACATCTACCCTAAATATCTGCCTGATCATCACCAAACCGATATTTTTCAAATCCTCAGCCATTCTGCTATCATCTCTGCTATTTTACAACTCACTACCCCTTCTCATCATGTCACAATCGTTGACAAAAGACAGCGTGTCTTTTGAATCTCAAGACACCCAATGTCAGACGCGCTCCAGCCAATATCCTTCATCACTCGAAGATGAATCCTCTCTACAACCACTACAGTCTCCCAACAATGTAGATGATGAATATGACACATCAGACAGTGACTTAACAGAGCTTGAATCTATTGATACTCCTTCGGAATTCGAGATCACCGATACTGATACCGATACCCCGCGAGCTTGTTCACGATCAAACCGCCGTGGCCCACAGCACCTGCCTACAATGCCTTATAACCGGCAGAAAAGACGGTCAAAATTATCTCGCGTTGTCAGAACATTACAGCGAAACAGTTGGGGAATGGAGGCCTTTATAGAGGCTTGGATTCAGAGTCCCGATATCTTGACTCATCGACGATACAGTACTCCTACGAAGCGGCGAAATGCACTATATTCAGCACTTTCCAAAGCAGGGGTATTCAATGATAATCAACGTTATACTGTCTTGCTTAAACAGGAGCTGAAATGCCTTATCAATACTCCCTTCTTTGCAAAATTCAATCACGATTCTGATCTGGATACCATTGACTTCCAGGCTGCTTTTGAGACCATCCGGACCGACGCGCCAACCTGGTTTGACCTACTTACTCCTGTTCTAAAAAATAAACGCGCCAATCGAAAGAGCTATGAATGGGGCTCAGATGAAACAACAGCTATCAAACGGTTGTTTGTTATTATGAGTATTATATGCCACTCTTATTCCTTGAAAAACTCAAACTTCTTCAGCTCTATTCTCTCTGCATATTTTCATGGCTCGGGAGTAAAACGACGAGTGATAGAAACCATTTCTGGCTTTGGACTCTGTCACAGCTATGTGATGGGGAATAGATTGATGATGGAAATTGCTAAACGAGAGAAGGTATGACTTAATATTCTTAACTTATTAATATTTCTACCTAACATCTCAAACTTCTAGTAATATCTGATAACATCTGTCATTTTCTGGCATGTTCTTTGAACTTCTATCAACTTCTGAGTCAATCACTTGACCAATAGAACGAAATCCAGCCTCTTGAAGAATGATATCTTCAGCTTTACTGCTGAGGGTTGCGGAACAGCCAAACCAGACAATATCCTCACGAAGAAGCAATCTCAGGTGCCCCAGCCTGGCAAACTGACTACGGAATTGACTCCACTGTGTGACAAGATGACACTCATCGATAGCTACAAGCCCAATCTTTTCTTGTAAAGTAGGGTCTTGAAGAACATGCTGAAATCGCTTGCAAAGAGCTTGCTCTGGACTGAGCAGTATATGTGTATACTCACCTTGTTGAATGCGTTTGAGTAAGTCTTCTTGCCCCTGGAGATTATCAGCACTGACCAGACAAGGATTGGCACCGGGAAACCGTGCTATATCTCTTGTTTGCTGATCACCAAGCTTGTTTAGAGGAACCAGTTGAATGGTTATCTTTCCTGTCAGAATTGTATAGGATTGAAGAATAAGGCTCTTTCCATAGCCAGTTCTGGCAATGAATAAAGTGTCGCTATATCCATATATCATGCGCCGAAGTATACGGACTTGTTCTATGCGTGGCTGAAGAGTACACTCAGGATCTGGACGCGGGCCTTGAAGTATTCGTTGAAGACAATACTGAATAACATCCTGTTGCTTGTCGATACTATCTGGTCCGGCATAGCTCATGACAAGTTGTGGCATATCTTCAATGTTCATTGAAAGTATTTGCTTTAATGATGGCTTTTGAAGCCGCTGTTGTAGCTGACTTGCGCCGTTTTCTTCGTTATCCGCCTTGGCCATATTTGATGCAGTTGATGGACGTTGTCCGA